ATTGTGGATTGATGATATGACTCTAAGTAAGGAAATTTTTACCTTAAATTATGCAATTAAGACTTGTGCTTTCCTAATAAAAAATCAAAAAAGTTAAATAAGGTAGGTAAACTAATTATAAATTATGTTATACTTTAATGTTAGATTCCAAATATATTTGTTTTCTTATTTTATGTGATTGATTCCATATGAGACTAACATTATGAAATGGAGGGTTTACTTTGTATTTACGTACTTCATATGTTTAATTTGTGTTTCGATGTAAAAATAAATAAAATAAAATAAATATCCCCTTAATTAATTTATGTATTTTGACAAGAAATATCCCCTTAGATTATTACGGAGTAGTTCTATAATTCTAATGCAAAAAAGTATCCAGTTTTACACCAATACTACGTATATGGTAAGAAGAAGAAAGGCAGGGCAACAATTTGATGTCGTTTAGCACTGGAATTATTGGAGAGTTAAACTGGTGGTCTTACGGAGAAGCTATTGCGTGAAAGAAACCAAGTCTCATGCCATTGAGACACAACTTATATGCTTCTCTTTGTTTTTCTTTTATTTTACTTTTTTAGCAACCTAAATTTTGACCAACATCTACAAAACTAATATTTACAAACTTACCATTAGAGAAACAAAATTTATATTTCTTTAAGATAAACAAGGGTGCCCCAGAGAGATCATAAACATAAAACTTATATCATCCATAAAATAATGAGCAATCAATCAAGAAGTTGTTTTGAATAATTAGCTAGGAAGCTTGTGTTTGGGGTCGATATGTCTCATTGTTACGGTTTGATCCTTACACAATCATTTATGTCAACTACTCTTGGTGGTTTTTAACTCGCTCCAATAGTTAAAGTCAACTATGCCTGATAGAGAATTAAATTTAAAGGCTTATAACAAGTAATAAATTAGATATGTGATGTGAGGGTAATAGGGTATAGCCGTATAGGGTATTCATAAAATATAGAGTAGGATATAAGAAAGTACGTGTCACTTAAAGGTGTTCGGTGTTCCTTTAAGTGGATAAAGCTAAATGTCCACGTGGATTAAGGTGTTTGTCCACGTGTCTGAGAAGATGGACCAAAATAAGGAATAGAGTCGTAAAGCTTTATGCTTCTAACTACGATTTGAGCGTAATTGATCATCAAGTCAGTAAGACATCCCGTACACAAGCCTTGACCGAGCTTAACACTATTCATCAAAATATCTAATGCAACCGTTGCAAATCCGATAAATTTTTAAATTTCTTTTTATTTCCCCCAATACCCCTAAGATTTTGATTAGAAAAAGAATATGCCAAGCACATTGCTGAATATACAAGATTCATTGGTGATTAACCAACCTATCGCACTCTTGACAATAGACTCACCACTTTCCAGTTTCCACCCTACCTAAAATCAAACCCAAAATTCATTCATGAGATCTGAATAAAAATTCCAAAATTAGCCAAATTCAATTGAAATCTCAACCATCATCTCTGAATCATTCAATTCAAAACCCCATTACCATGTTCACCCACCTCCATTTTCTACTCATTTTCTCTCTCCTCTCTCTCTCAATCGCCACACCCACCATCACTGTAACCCCAGATTCTCTCTCCAAATCCGGCGACACAATCAAGCTCGAATGGTCCGATATATCCGACCCATCTGAGCTCGATTGGGTCGGACTCTACTCCCCACCCGATTCACACCACCATCATTTCATCGGCTATTTCTTCCTCAATTCTTCATCAACATGGAAATCCGGGTTCGGGTCAATCTCATTTCCTTTAATCAATCTTCGACACCCATATCAGTTTCGGATCTTCCGATGGACCCAATCGGAAGTGGACCCCACAAAAATGGACCATGATAGGAACCCATTGCCAAGGACCAAGCACCTTCTGGCCCAATCCAAGGAGGTGTCTTTTCAGAGGCTTAATGGGCCGGAGCAGGTCCATTTGGGGTTCACTGATAGGGAGGATGAGATGAGGGTGGTGTTTGTGGCGGGGGATGGTGGGGAGAGGGTTGTGAAGTATGGTAAAGAGGAAGATGAGCTCAGACAAGTGGCGGCGACGACGGCGGAGATATATCAAGTTGAAGATATGTGTGATGGTCCTGCTAATCAGAGTGTTGGGTGGAGAGATCCTGGGTTTATTTTTAATGGGGTTATGACTAATTTGAAGAAAGGGAAGAGATATTATTACAAGGTATAATTATTCATACTTATGTTTGTTTTATTTTTATTGAATTCTGTGCTTTAATGTTAGTTTTCTTGGTATGGATGAACTAGATGATATGAAATATGATTGGTTATTTTGATTGTTAGTTGCTAATTTGATCGTGCACGACCGTTAAATTACATGTTTTGCTGCTAAATTTACTAGTTTGATATTTGGGTTTTGTGTGTGTTTGTAAGTTGTTAGGAGGGTTTAGCTAATATTGAATCATGTGGAGTTGTTTCTTACTGCTTTGGAGTTGTATAATCATGTATTCATGTGTGTTAAATTGATCAATGTCGGATACTATTATGGAATTCGACTTAAAGTCATAGCAAGTATTCATTTTGAGCAAAGATTTATTTTATTTGAGGGTGTGTTCTAGTTTCAGATGATGATATTGTTGCTGATCAATTGGCAAAGTTAGCTGGTGGGTTTATTAGACCCTATTCTAAGTTGTGAAGTTTTATGTGTTTATGTCATATGAAAATTTTTTATGTTTAAGAACAGCTTGCAGTATTAAGATAAATTGATCTCTACATTCAGGTTTCATGGCTTCGATTTGACTGCTGTCTTTGAGATTCATGCAATTTATTCTACTAGTATGTTATAAGGTCAGTAATGTCACTGAAGTTGTTTCTTTTTGATGATTGAAGGTCGGGAGTGATTCAGGGGGTTGGAGCCCTACCTATAGTTTTGTCTCAAGAAATGAGGATTCTGATGAAACTGTAGCTTTTATGTTTGGAGACATGGGAACTGCGACACCTTATAGAACCTTTATCCGTACTCAAGATGAAAGCATATCCACTCTCAAATGGATCCTCCGTGACATAGAAGCTCTTGGGAACAAGCCTGCGTTTATATCACATATTGGAGATATTAGCTATGCAAGAGGATATGCTTGGATATGGGACAACTTCTTTAACCAAATTGAGCCAGTTGCCTCCAAGATGGCTTATCATGTCTGCATTGGAAACCATGAATATGATTGGCCTCAACAACCTTGGAAACCAGAATGGGCTGCTTATGCAAAGGATGGTGGTGGTGAATGTGGTGTACCCTACAGTCTTAGATTCAAAATGCCTGGAAACTCTTCATTCTCAACTGGGACTCGTGCACCAGCCACCCGGAATCTGTATTATTCATTTAATATGGGGTCTGTTCACTTTGTATATTTTTCGACCGAGACCAATTTCCTACAGGGAAGTGCCCAGTACAAGTTCCTGGAGCATGATTTGGAAAATGTCGATAGGAAGAAGACACCGTTTGTTGTTGTCCAAGGACATCGACCTATGTACACAACAAGTAATGAGATTAGGGATACCCCATTAAGAGAAAAGATGCAGCAGCACCTGGAACCTCTTCTTGTGAAGAACAATGTGACTCTTGCTTTGTGGGGTCATGTACATAGGTATGAAAGATTTTGTCCATTGAACAATTTCACCTGTGGAGAAATGGACTCGTCTGGGACGAAGCAAGGTGGATATCCTGTGCATGTTGTGATTGGAATGGCGGGGCAGGACTGGCAGCCTATCTGGGAACCAAGACCAGAACACACTGACCTTCCGATCTTTCCACAGCCAAAGAGGTCAATATATCGTGGGGGTGAATTTGGTTATACTAGGCTTGTTGCCACAAAGAAGAAGCTCACGCTTTCTTATGTGGGAAATCATGATGGAGAAGTGCATGATACAGTGGAGATTCTGGCAACTGGAGAAGTTTTGAGTGGTAGTGGTTCTGCTAGTGGTGAGAAAACAGAGTTTCCTGACACAGTGTTAGAAGGTGGAATGGCATCACCCATTTTCTCCCAGTTTGTAAAGGGAGGGAGTGTCTTGCTACTTGGTGCTTTTGTCGGATATGTTATTGGATTTGTTTCACGTTCAAGAAAAGAAACTCCTGCTTCTGGGAATAGCTGGCTTCCAGTTAAAACTGAAGATTCTTGAACTGGTATTATATTTTAAAGCAAAAGCAGCTTGAATTTCATAGGTGCAACTACTTTCACCGGCCTTCTGTTAAGTACAGCCATAGTTCTCGACTTTTGAGTTTGCTAGAGCATTGAATGTCGCAGCTGGCTGTAAGCATGTGATCTAAATTTGCCATTCAAAGGCCACAGTGCACATAGGTACTTAGAGGTCTGTATATATGTTCCTTATTTTGTGTTTAATGTACAATTAGAGCATTTTTGATGGCAAACATTCTTGATGTATAATAGGATTTGTGTACCTGTTATTCCGGCAGAGATTGTATTTTCATCTCAGTGTATAACAGCATTAGATTTATATGTAATAGAAAACTCTGGTGTAATAATAATACACGTCACGTGTGGGTAAATCAACAATCTGTTGTATTTTTAAAGTAGTTGAATGAAAGCATATCATTATAAGGCAGAAATGTTTGTATTTCAAAGTTTAAGTGGCCATTAAAACCATATGTCATGATGGTCTAGATAAACTCTCTTATAGAGTTTAGGCAGGAGATGATATCAGTAAAATTGGGACATCTGTGGTTGAGATTTACACTTATCAATTATCTGAGTACTTCCGCATGGATGATGATGGACCCTCTTTTCCAAAGAAGGGGAAAAAAAGACAATTATAGCTACACTTAATGGTGTTTTAGTACTCAATTAGTTTAAGTTGAGATCTTTATTAATTAAGAATAGGAGTTTGAGGATTATAGAGCGGGAATGTGTGATTTGGAACGTAAAACAAATGTACCAACTCTTGTCTCATCTTTGATGGCAAAACAATCATTTTATTTTTAATCCCGATCCCATCTCTTTGTTTATAAAACATAAGAATAGACCCTTAATAATCCTACTCCCACCTAACAATCACTCTTGAGTGGCTCTGATTCAATACCCTGGCCAACTGTCTCTCACCCCCTTTCTAACTAAATACAGTAAAGACTCCTATATTGTGCTGTGCTGAAGTGCTGAACTAAGGGTCAAAAAGTTTAAGTCTCGTTGTCTAGCTCGAGTTTGACTTTCTATCTTAGCCAATTTAGCTTGGATCTGTTTATTAAAGGTAGTTACTATTAAATCTTATTCTTTTATCTATTTATTATCGATGTCTCTGATGCTGTCTTGGTCACTGATCGTTAGTTCTGTTACATGAACTTTAAAAGGTGTAGCTGTTGTAAGTCAAAAGGGGCAGAAAATGTACGAGGAAACTCACTTTGCAATGAAGGAAGAATATGCTAGTCTGTCCAAATTGCTGATGGAATTCGTTAATATCAGTAAAATAGACAAGGCTTGGGTTTGCAAATCAGGTAGTAATCTGACTATCAGCATTGCATTGATTGTATATCAGACGGCTTCAATCCTCATTGCATTCTTTTTCGACTGTAAAAACATAATAAAGATATGATGGTTGCATTAGTTATGCTCTATTTATGTTGATCTATGTTTATTTTGCTCTCATATAATGCAATTTTGCACAGGAAATGACTCTAAGGCAATATTTTCTGCTAGCCAACCCAATATTCTTGCTAATAGTAACAGAAAATTTATCTTGTCTGCTACTATTCATGGGAGTGGCACTAGTCCAGTGGATTTTCAATGGTCACCCTTTCCTATTGAGGTTTCAGGGGCATCCATAATATTGCCTTCACCTTCTGGTTCGAAGCTTCTCATTGTTCGAAATTCTGATGATGACTCTCCTACTAAATTTGAGATTTGGGGCTCTTCAGATCTGGAAAAGGAGTTTCTTGTACCTCAGGCTGTTCATGGATCATTATTTACGGATGCATGGTAATTTGACTCCTGCATTATGAGTATAGAAGTAGGGCTATGTGGCGGAACATGAGTCTTTTCTTATTCCTATGCTCATTGTTCATTTCTCTTAACTGACAGGTTTGAAGGTGTTTCTTGGAACTTAGATGAAACACTCATTGCATATGTTGCTGAGGAGCCTACCCCTTTAAAGCCCACATTCAATAATTTTGGTTATACAAGCGCGAGTACCTCCAATAAGGGTTGTAACAGCTGGGAAGGCCAAGGGGACTGGGAGGAGGGATGGGGAGAAACATATGTGAAAAAAAGGTGCCCTGCAGTTTTTGTTATTGATATTAACAGGTATTTGAGTCACCTTTTGATTTGGCTTTGATAAAATTAATGACTAAGCTGAATGCTTCTGCTCTTGGAGGATGTACAAGTTCAATCATTTAATTGTTGTGCAGCGGAGAGGTGCGTGCTGTTGAAGGAATTAATAAGGCACTCAGTGTTGGTCAGGTTGTTTGGGTTCCATCAACAATTGCCTCACAGCAACATCTTGTAGTTGTTGGGTGGCCTGCAGAACCAAGAAAACTTGGCATGAAATACTGTACTAATAGACCATGTGCCTTATATGCTGTAACATGTCCTTTCAACAAATTAGAAGCTATCAAATCTGATCTCAAGTGAGTTGTTATTTTCGTTATATCAATGTAGAGAATAAGTATCTAAGTTTCTTCTTTATCATACACCTATCCTGTTTCTCTGTTTGAAGCAGATCAAATGCAGATGATGACTCCAATGCAGTTGTGTTGACAAAAGGAATTAGCAGCGCTTTCTGTCCACGCTTTAGGTATGATTTTTCATGTTTTGCCAGTTGATTTTTGTCCTGATTTAGTGTTGTGTTGGCTCTAGTTCATGTATCAAAGACTCAGGCTTCTAGCTTTAACTACTTGTGTGTTCTTATTCTTGAGCAATAACACCTATACTTGTTTACATACTGCACCCTGGTTCTGATAGAAATGTTAAAGGCGCTTTAACTGTAGAATAGCACTGGTTTGTATTAGCTGTCCTGTGTACATATGTCAGTTTTATTGTTCAGATTTATGCTATGATTCATATTTAAAGACATAGACTATTCTTAATGTGTATTATACATGGATGTCAAGTGAATGTATATCTGTTGTTTTGACAGCCCAGACGGGAGATTTCTTGTGTTCTTATCAGCCAAAAGTGCTGTGGAATCAGGAGCACACAATGCCACATTTTCACTTCATAGAGTTGATTGGCAAAGTGATTGGAACCCAAATGTGCTACCAATTGTTGATGTGGTAAACTCTTTTTGCCTTCAATATCAAGTTTGTTCATTACAGTCTTGAATTTTCGTTGAAATAGTTCTTTCCTTTCTTCCTTCTTTATCCTTGTGCACATGGAGTATCCTTTTGGATAGAGTATCGTGTACTGTCTGATATATTATTCATGGACAGAGTAATTTACAAACAATATTGAATTGTTTCAGACCATTACCTATTTAAGAGTTATTGCCTTATTGGTGTCGTCTATATTGTGATAAATTTCTGTTCCACATTAACATCATAAATGTTTCGTCTCACTATCATAGGTTCCTGTTGTACTGTCTGCGGAGAATGATTGCTTCCCTGGACTATATTTTCCCAGCATCCTCATGAATCCATGGTTTTCTGATAAGCGTACTATGATTTTATCCTCGATCTGGAGGAGCACTCAAGTGATATTTTCTGTGGATGTAGAGAGGTTTCTGATTCCACTTAAACGTTCAGTCTTCTTGATATGAAAATTTTCAGCTAATAATGCATCTTTTTAATTCTGCAGTGGGAGCTTGTCACGCATCACTCCTCATAATTCAAGCTCCTCATGGGAGGTTCTTTCGCTTGATGAGGATAATATCATTGCCGGTATGTATAATGATATCTATTTCTCGTCTCTGTAACTTCTTAACTTTAAGACAACTCATCTTATTTGTCATTTTGAAGTATGCAGCAGCCCTGTAGATACTCCTCGAATCAAGTATGGTTGTCTTCTTAAGAAGCAAGTCCCAAATGCCCCTTGGAATTGGCAAGATGTTCCGAGCCCCCTATTCAGATGTTCAAAGGAGGTTTATATCCTCATTCTTATCTGACTAATACTTACAACAGTGATTTTCTACATGTATAGTCAATAACTCGATACAGATCACTCTGGATTACATCTTTTGGTGTAAAACTTTTACAGGTTTCATCTCGCCTCTCATCCCTTCAATTCAGTATAATGAAAATTCCAGTAAGATCTATTTCAGAAAACTGTACAGAAGGTAATCTCAAATTATGTCTTCTGCTTAGGTGCATGAATGGTTTTCAATTGGATCTTTTCTGTTAGATCAACATTTATGCTTGGAATTGATACATTTTTGTTTTCAAATTAATCTCTTATTGATGGCTAACAATATGCATGTACAAATGTCTGCATGTTTCCTTCAGCTTTCGAAAATGCAAAATTCTAGATTGTGAGCCGTCTCTGCTGCTTCAACTATCAATCTTTCAGTGCATGATTTATCTGTTTTCGTTTCTTCATGTTGAATCTTTGTAACAGGAGCGAGTAAACCTTTTGAAGCTATATTTGTCTCCTCAACTGCAAAGAACGACATTTGTAATCCATTGATCACAGTTCTTCATGGAGGTCCTCATGATGTTGCAACATCAAAGTTCTCAAAGACATTGGCATTTTTGGCATCAACTGGATATAATCTATTAATTGTCAATTATCGGTAAACAATGTTTTTATTCGACCTTCTACTTATTTTTTTATATTCTTTTCACAACCCCAACTAAAAATGATTAAAGCCTTAACTCCAGCTTGAGAATATTGGACATTTATGTATTTCATTTCCTTGGAAGCCTTCCCCTCTATTCATTATAGTGGTTACATTTTGAGTACAAGATATCGGGTCAGGCATTCTTCTAGTAATGTCCAAATAGCAGCTCAATTGCTTGTAGCTAACTTCTTTTGTTGGATCATCAGCTAGCCTTGTGCATAACTGATTTTTAATTTATGCCACTTCCTGCATTCTATCACAGAGGCTCTCTGGGATTTGGTGAAGAAGCACTGCAGTCTCTTCCAGGGAATGTTGGATCACAGGTCCTGTTTCATTATTACAAATTCCAATTCCTTATTTGCACGTCATCAACTTTCTATCATGTTATGGATATTGTGACCATATACCAACAACGTGAAACAAATCAAACTAAATTTTTATCTGCAGGACGTCAATGATGTGCTTACTGCAATAGATCATGTTGTCGGCTTAAAACTTGCTGAACCACCTAGAATTGCTGTGTTTGGTGGTTCCCATGGTGGCTTTTTGAGTGCCCACCTTATTGGGCAGGTACACATAAGGCTTTGTTTTTTTTGAGATTGCATGACATATTGACATTCGTTAATAATCACATGTATCTTTTAAGTGGCCCTTTCTTCAGCTTTCCATATAGTGTTTCATAACTCTCTCTAATTGTGCATCTAACTTTACCAATACATGATACAGATCATATTCCTATTCAACTGCTTAATTTCTGAAAGGTTGCTGATATGAGCTCTAAGTTATACTTCGTATTAATTTTAAATTTAGTCTGATTTCGGCATTTGATGGTAGCTCTAAGCCTTTTAACTCACGTAACTTGTTGTATCATTCATGCTATCTGTAATGTTTTTTTTTTTTAAACTTTTGTAACTTTACCTCAAATTAAACTGAGACTTCTATCATGAAGTTTCTCCATCAAGTATCACTCACTTTTTATTGTTTGTCAAGGAAGTAATAATTTAGCTTTTGAATGGAGATAAAAAATTTGTCAGAAAGGATACAATTGAAGAGGTTAACATATGCTGCAATAAGAAAAAAAAATATAGCATACAAAATCAAGACATGTTATGAAAGTTGTATGTGGAAGGAAAGTTTAGGAACCTTCTTTAAAGAGGGAACAATGATTAGTTGTGTTCTAGCTTTGGTGTACCCACTGGTTGCTTTGACATGATCAGTTTTACCATCGGTTTCCTGGAAAGAAAAAGGAAATCACTAAGCGCCTTAAGGAACATTTTGTGCTGCAGGCCCCTGAAAAATTTTCTGTAGCAGCAGTCTGGAATCCTGTTTGCAACCTTGCTTTGATGGTTGGAACTACTGATATTCCTGATTGGTGCTTTGTCAATGCTTATGGAAGCGATGGTAAAACGTACTTTACAGAAGCACCATCTAAGGACAATCTGAATATCTTATATGATAAGTCCCCTATCTCGCATGTCCATAAGGTATATATATGGCACAGCTTCTGATCTTCTCATCAGTAGTTTTATTTTTTGTTGAAATGCCATACTATTAGTGTTTCTGATATTCTGACATTTTCATCTCTGTCAGTTGATAGTGAGCTTTAATTCATTCCTAATTAAGATATGAATAAACGAGATGTGTCTGTAAACTTTGCAGGTCAAAGCACCTACACTGTTTCTTTTAGGTGCTCAGGATCTTCGAGTTCCTGTTCCTGATGGATTGCAAGTGAGTTATTGTCCTCCCAATTACACAGTTATATAGATTCTTATTTACATGATGCTTTCCAGTTTTTTTCTAAGGTGAAAGCACATGTTCAGCAGTTCTTGGAAGATCAACATTGATTGTGAACTATCATTACTTTTAGCATTAACTAGACAGTATCAATTTCTGCTGGCTAAATGAAAGCCAATTTATCCTAGGCTCTGAAACCAATCATTCCTGTTAGAAGTGAATGGTGTCTAGAACTGGTTTAAGAATGTATAGGTTGATTTGGCGTATTTATCTCTTTCAAGTGTGAAAATTGACTTGATGGTGCTTATTCACTGCTAGTATGCGCGTGCATTAAAGGAGAGAGGAATTGAGGTTAAGGTAATTATGTTTCCTGATGACGTACATGAAATATCCAGGTAATATGCTCGTTTATTATAGGCTAATATAAAATTTCCTTTGTACAGAAGAGTTCCTAATATTCTGTATTTTCATGTCATCCTCCTTTTGAATTCTGGTTATTTGGCTGCAGGCCTCAATCTGAAGTCGAGAGCTTTGTAAATATTGCATTGTGGTTCAAGAATTATTGTCAATAGATCAAGTGCCATATCCATGAAGAGATGCTTAACAGCAATGCCATAGTAAACCAAATCCTTAAGTTTACTAAGTTCTTGTGTACTTTCCTAGTTTTATGTCTAATGTGCTCATGATCTGATTTACTTTATTTACTCTCGCTTATCTGAACACAAGGTTGTAGTTTGCTGAATTGGTATGGTATGGAACTAAAGCACTTGAATTTTACACTAGAACTTTGACGACCAACAACATGCTAGTCATTCAAATAATGCATAAATTGCTTTTACTGACCTACAATGTGAGGAGACTCAGGAGAGAATCAAGAACGGCAGCATTTATGCAAAGGCAAAAAAAAATTGGTTACTACAAAACAAAAGCAGGAAATGAACAATCAAATAGTCATTTACATACATGCTTGTTTCTGTTTGCCCGTATTACATACAAAAAGGCTCTGTAATTTGTACATACCAATTCGGATAACACCTGCTTATTTGTACAGTTAAGTGCATGCTAGGAAATTCCTGTACTTCTTATACTCTCCTATCCCTCTCATACACCCCCCCCCCCCCAAAAAAAAAAGGAAAGAATTTTAAGCAGTACGAATTCCACTGGAGACGGTAGAAAATTCAGCTACAAAATAGAAAAAGGCTGCACAGTCAAAAGAGATTGAGGTTCTAAGTGGTGAACATTAAGAAATGGACCTAAAGAATGCCTCAAGATCTTCATCAGCTGAACTTTGATCAAAAACTGGAAAATCCCCAGTGTTGCCACCTATGGAAGTATTAGCATTCTCCTTCTCACCTGTTATTGTGCCTAATTCAGCAGTAAGCTTATTTCTGTGTATGTCAGTAGCAGACGAACCTTCCCTTGCAGCCATATTAACCGGTCCCTTGGACTGTTCACCAGCTTTGATCTTTTTTCTTGAGCTCAAACCAGGACCAATCCCACTTGGAACCAGCGGATTCAATTCATCCAGCATCTTATTACTCGAATCACCTATTTTTTTACCATCTTGAAAAGCTCTAGTGAGGATAAAGTTAGAAGAAGTGCTACTGCCTCGTTGATGAGAATTAACTACACCAGTAGAAGGCAAAGTATCATCTGAAGGAATAGACTTTCCTGATGTATTCTTTTCTGATGCTTGTCCTGCAGAAATACACCGTATGTCATTTGCAATCTTTCCCTGTGCTTGCTTCAAATTATTTAATTCTTCCTCCAGCCTTTTAATGTAACTCTTGCAGTCATCCATTTGTCCCTGTGAGTGCTGCAGATTATTTAATACTCTCTCCATTGTTCTAATGTGACTTTTGCAATCAATCAATTCACCTTGTAAGCGATCAATTGATTTATGAAGATATATAAAGTTTGAATTCGTTGCTACCTGCGCATGTCAATTACAAGAATGAAACAGGATAGAATTACTCAGAAACCTTTTATGATGGTGCATTGCATACACAAAATAGGACAGGATCAAATCTTATCTAACGAAAAGTTCGTAATGACTTTTAAGAGCACACGATACGATAGTAAATCAAAGGGTATGAACATGAATATCACAAGTGGTCTTACAATGGTGCATTGCATACAAAATACGACATAATCTCCTTGAATTGCATCTCCACTCAATCAGATCGTGTTTATTTATTTATTATAATTCTCACTCTTATTATTTCTTGGTACCAATTTACCAAACTACTTATACAAAAATTTGACTCTCAATAATTAGAATCAGACCTCGCTCATGACCAGATCGTGACGCTCTTGAGTATTCCAAATGTATGGCTCTGCATTTGCTCCTTGAGATGACTGAAATGAAGCAGATGAGAAATTTGTCATTGGGTTTGGTGCACCTTGCTGCTGTTCATAACTCGTAGAAAGGGAATTCCATTGTCCAGCTGCACATATATCCAATACCAATACATGAAGCATATGCTTAACATTTTCATAAGCAATTAGGTACGCATAAGTCAAATGCAACATATTAATTGAAGAGTTAGAACAATAGAATAAACAGATCATCAAAAGATCCCAAGTACAAAAATATAAGTACAGCTTGCTTGAAAACAAACATGAACTTTTTGCCATTTAGGATGTTAGTCCTATCTTTTCAAGAATGGACTTGCAACTTCAATTTGAATTACTGTATTGTTTTTTTGCAAAAAGCCTTACAGTAAGCTGTTAGCCTGTTACAGCCTATGTTGTAACACGAAAACTTCATTGAATTTAAAGAAAATCTCAATCTACTAGGCACTCATAGTCCAATGAAGACATTAACAATCAATGGATCATGAGTAACAAATTGCTCATCTAACACAAAGAGAGGTTCTCAAGCATACCTGAATGAGGGTATGCAGATCCCTGCTGCTGATTTCCAATACTGGGAATCATATGATCAGATTGCTGAAGCCTCGGTCTTTGCTGTGAGCTTATTCCTGGTTGATTTGGGGAAATAAGACGAGGCCTTCCCATGCTGGGAATCATATGATCAGATTGCTGAAGCCTCGGCCTTTGCTGTGAGCTTATTCCTGGTTGATTTGGGGAAATGAAACTAGGCAACAACTGATGTGATGGGGAAAGATTAAAACCAGGATTCAACAAGCTTTGTGACGGGAGACTTCCAGGATTAGAAGGGGAAAGATCAAGTGGAACATTAGAATTATTACTTGTAGAAGCTTCCAGGCCTACCACTAGCTGCTGTTGTTGCTTAGTATCAGTTCCAACTCCATTAAAATTCAGAACTGCTGGAGAATGGTGAGGAAACATAGGAGGGTAATTGTTGCGGAAAGGGCTAGCCTCTTTGAGCCTCTTCCTCATAGAATCTGAACCAGTTGGGCTGTTAGAGTGCGGGTTTCTTACAGGTTGTAGACGAGAAGCAACTTCTTCATCAGTTTGGTTATTAGACTGCAGATTTCTTAGAGGTTGCATATTGGACCCAAGATGTACACCAGTTTGGCTACTAGGCTGTGAATTGGTTAAAAGCTGCATAAAAGACCCAAAATCTTCATCCATAGGATCATACTAAAAACCCCGAAAATTAAACCACATTTAGAAACTGCTACTCATGTCAAGAAAACAAACTGATACAATTTTGTTCAAGAACTTGCATAACAACAACAACAACAACAACAACAACTAATCATAAGTTCCAAAATGATTTGGGGTCGACTAACACGGAAACATTGCTAAAAAATTAGACAAGCCTGTCACGATGATTCATTCTATAATATGTTAAATTGAATGATCCAACAAATTACCAAACAGATTAAACACCCATTTACTTCTTTCTCTTAAATTCCTCATTGATAAATCATCATAATCAATTGAACAGGAAGGGCATGAAAACTATCATATTAACAAGAGATAATCAAAGAACATCACCAAGATTCTGATATCAAGCAGAGAATCAAAACATACAACAAGCTAACATTCGACATTTCTACATTATGCCAAGTTGAATGAACTAATAATCAAATACCCATTAATTTCTTTCTCTTAATTAGCCATTAACAAGTCATTCAGAAGGTATAATTAACCTAGAAAATCGAAAATGCAGAATTCAATTGAGAGAAATCATCAAAGAACAACACCAAGATTATACTAAAAATAATTTTAGCAGAAAAAAAAAAACATACAACAAGCTAACATTCGACATTTCTTCATTATGCCAAGTTGAATGAACTAATAATCAAATACCCATTAATTTCTTTCTCTTAGTTAGCCATTAACAAGTCATTTCGAAGGTATAATCAACCTAGAAAATCGAAAATGCAAAATTCAATTGAAAGAAATCATCAAAGAACTATAACAAGATTATACTAACAATATTTAAGCAGAACAAAATTTGATAAAAATAAATCAAGTTAAAGAAAATCATACAGAAGAACTCGTTCCAGAATCTTCAATATCGTGCTCGTGCTATGGCAATTTAGAATCTTCAAAGTCTAGTTCAGTGTGCAGGGGAAGGAGAGAGAGCTTAGCTCTTTTCTGTGTTTGAAAATTTTAATGTTCGGGTTTAATCAGAGGTTTAAATGTGTTTTTGTGAGCGATACAATATACTCCCTCCATTTTGTACTCATCAATATTACAAGGGTCAAAACATTTACATGAACACATCCGATTCGATCCGAAACTGACTAAAAAAATATTTAATTTAAAAGATTTCGATTTACATAAACACAATAATTTAGCATGACTCAACTTTAAAAATTGACTCGACTCAACCTCATCGAACCCGATTTAATCATTCGAACAAACACCTCTATCCAATATTAAACAGTAACACTTGGTAATTGGTACGGAGTACCTGAATAGAATATTAACCAAGAGTTGGTGGAGAACTCACCTTGGTTTGAGCCATATCAAGTGAACATAACATAGTCGTGGGCTTGATAGGAGTAAAAAAAAAAAAAAGGATTGTTGCCTCTGTTTTTTTAATTGCAACAGTTTAGCTGGACATGCTTACCGATATACAAATTTATTTTTTATACATTAGTTAAAAATACAAGTCAAAGCCATTGATTGAATGGCAGAAAAAAATAAATTTGTTGCATTTAAAAAGCGAAGAGAAAATACTTTGTAGCATTGCATCTTTACCAGATAAGGAATTGTTGCAATTAATATAAAATGGATGAAAAAGAAAAGTGTCACGATTGATGCAAAATAAAGGGAGTACAAAGTATAGTATATGTATGAATTATACTACGCACTTGTTCAAGCTCATTTTCGGGTGGTTAAAAAAAACAAGAGCTCACTTTTAGGGTTGAATTTTTGGGTTTTTTTAGGTTTAGAACTATAAAGAGTGTTTTTAGCCTTGTAATAACTACAAAATTTTGCCTACACCCCTATGTAGGTAGCACTACCTACACCCCCTCTTCATCCTAATGATGTCATCTTATAGTTTTCCGATTTCGAATCATATGTAAAATGTTCATTTTGGTATATATAAATGTTCATTTTTGTAGATATAAATGTTCAGTTTTGTATCGTTAAATGTTCAGTTTTGTTAATATGGCGATACTATATATTTATTGTTTTTTAAGCACAACTTTTTTATCTTTTCAAATGTATAAAAGTACACAAGCTCAATTTATTAATTAAAAGTACGTAGAAACTTGTATAAAAAAATTCAAAAGTGAAAATCATAAACTTCAAAAATGTACATATCATATACTTAGGGCCTGTTCTCATTGACTGAACTGAACTGAACTGAATTGAGCTGAACTGAACTGAACTGAACTGAGCTGAACTGAACTCAACCGAATATTTTATAAGAGAAGGAAATTAGGAGCTGAACTAAACTGAACTGAACTGAATTGAGCTGAGCTGAACTGAACTAAACTGAATTTCAACGTAAGAGAACAGACCCTTAGTATATATGTGTCTTACAAAATAAATTGAACATCGCCTCTAATTTAACATTTGGTATACATAAAAATTTTGTAGAGTCATCGTGCTTATAATAGATACCCTTTTACGTACTCTTATGATGTGTGTGTGTTTTCTTGGTACATACCTTTTCATCAATACATACATTATCGTATTCAACTTTTTTTTTATTTCATTGATTGTCCTGTGTGATAAGAGATCAAAATTTTATAAAGTAAAATGTTAGTAACAATTAAAACACACATACTATAAACAAGACAGAAACATTTTAAAATACAAAATTTTAACATATTGACAGAAAATAATTAACATAGTTCAATATGAAGATGAACAAGTAATATCATAATCTAAATAAACATTTTTCAATATGAGAATGAACAAATATTAAATTTAATTGAACGTTTTTCAATATGATAACAAACAAGTATTAAAATTGAAACAAATGTCTTTTAATGTAAGAATGAATGAATAAGTATAAATCTAAATGAACATGTTTATATATGAGAATAAATATTGAATTAGATTGCAATGCAAATGAACATCTTTAAATATAAGAATGAACATATAATGTAAAGAGAATGAACATGTATCAAAATTAATTGAATATAAATGAACATGAAATCCATGTAAAATGATCAATGTTCCACCTAAAATGAAAATTTATAATAGATTGATATTGCTTATTAGATCAATAGAAAATATAGGAAGAAAATGGAGATAAGGACATTTATTGTAATTCTAATGAGCGTACATTAATGCTATTCAAAAAAAAAAAATGAGCGTATATTAATATGTGCATGAACATATATTAGTACATGTATGAACATTTATCAAATGAAAATGAACATTCATATACGAGCTAAATTTATATTTCTATAATCATACGAAATAGATCAAATCCAGAAAATTAGGGCAATTAAACTCTATTTTATTTTTATTTTTTGTCCAGTAAATTTATAAGTTAATAATACACCACAAATTAATTCAACTTAAAGTGGATTATTATACCAAACATCATTCTACTATAATTCATTGTTATGATAAAAAATTATAAGAAATCATGAAGTAATATTGGAATTTCATTTACTTAGAGAATGTAATTGAAGAATAAGCCAAATAAAAAGTTAGGGTTTATACTTTTTTTTTAATAAAAAATAAACAAAATCAACTTACAATTTGATTGTCAGTGGTTCTTTTGTAGAAATTTTCTACAATTTTTTCTCTTACATACTATATTTTGGTATAGATCTAAGAGTGTTTGAATTTTTTATTTATTTTTTTTTAGACAAATTTGGGAGAATTTGATAGCTTAGGAGTAAGAAAATGGAGAGAGAAAGGGATAAAATTATGAGGAGTGAGAAATTTAAAATATTGGTAAAATTATAGGAAAATTGATTTATAAGAGGAGAGAGAAAAGGTGAAAATACCTACACTAGGATGTAGGTATAGGTTATATAGTGTATGTGGGGACGGGGGTGTAGGTACTACTCCGTAATACCTACACTAGGATGTAGGGATCAGACTAATGAGTCGGACCATTAGTGATTAAGGGTGAAAGTTTGATTTGCAATGTGGTTTAGCCTAAACCAAAACCAAAAACAAAAACAAATCATATTAATTTTGTTTGGGATTTTTCAAACTACACCAGACCATCTTATATTTCGGTCAAAAAAAATCACACAGTTTTTATTCATTTTTTTAAGAAAAAAAAAACTCCAAACTGCACCGCAATTTTTTGTGCACAGTGTTTTGGGTTTTTATTTGTTACTTTTTTGGGCCGAATAATTTGTGCTACAATTTAGATATGATTCTGTATTTTGGTTTGGTTTTGATCTTTCAAATCCTAAAATCGAAACCAAATCGTTAACTGTAATTATTTCTCAAACTGCACCAAACTATATTTTTTTTATTAAACAGACCGCATTATTAATTCATTTGTTTTGTGATTCGATTCGATTCTAAACCATATTAGTTTCATCCCTATTGATTGTTTCCATCAATTGGTCTTAGGTGCATCTTTATGCACCTAAGATAGGTGCAACAAGAGAAGGCCCAAAACACACGGCCCAAATTAATAACCCAGACAATATATCCGCGATCCGCCAAAATTAACACTACACTCTACAAAATGAATATTTAGTAAAAAAATATGAACATGAAAAAATGAACATTTAATTATAAAAAATGAACACGTAAAAAAAACGAACATTAATACTTATAATGCATATGTTTCACAATCATATTAATTTTTATTTCTTCAAATTTTTATGTTCACAATTAAATGCATTATATTCATAATAATATTTTATATGTTCATATATAATTTCCAATTTTCGTAATGTAAATATGTGTTGTTCATGATATTTTAATTAAATTTGTTTATGTATATGTTGTCTTTCTTAAATGTTTATGTTCATATTTTTTTACGTATATGTTCACCTTTTAAATGCTTATATTCACTTTAAGAAAACCAATGCTTACGTTCATATTTTGAAATGTTATGTTCACTTTTTGAAATGCATAAGTTCATATTTTTTATGCCTATGTTCACTTTCTGAAAAGCTAATGTTCACATTTCAGGGAACCAATGCATATGTTCATATTTTTCATGATTATATCTTCATTGATAAAAAAAAATGCAGAAAATCAGATAAAATTCAATTCATTAGAATTAAGAAAATCATATATTACCTTTGTTAACATTTAGTTGCAAGTTTGGAATATTTTATGTCTCTGAAATAATACCCCAAAGTTGCAACTAAATGTTAATGGAGATAGTATAACCTAATCAATCGAAGTTAATCACAAAGTCACCACATAAGAAATCGAAAATCACACATTTTTATGCCTATGTTCACTTTATGAAAAGCTAATGTTCATATTTTTTATGCCTATATGTTCCCTTTCTAAAAAGCTAATATTCATATTGTGCTGTTGTTACACCTATTTCTAGGTGCATGAGTGTGCACCTAAGAATATGCAGGGCTGCAATTTAGATATGTGTTTGGTTTTTCAAATCCTAAAATCAAAACCAAATCACAAATTGTAATTTTTTTTATTTCTCAAACCACACCGACTTATATATTTTTTTTTATTAAATAAACCACTTTATTAATTTATTTGGTTTGTAATTCGATTCAATTTTAAACCGTATTAGTTTCATCCCTATCGAGGATTACCTCTAATCTGTACCATCAAATTGTCGTTAATGTACCCGTATTCTACATTTTCCAATCCCATAAATAACAATGCAGCCCAGCCCATTACTAACCCTAAACCAACCCCATTTCTCAAACCCCTACTTCTTCTCTGCCGATAACAAAACTCATCCCTCTTTCCAGAGGAGAGAGAGAGAGCAAAAAAACCCTAAAAATGGTGAAGTTTCTGAAAACAGGAAAAGCCGTAATCCTCCTTCAAGGGCGATACGCAGGTCGGAAGGCAGTAATCGTGCGCAACTTCGACGAAGGTAGCCGGGATCGCCGTTACGGACACTGCCTTGTCGCCGGCATCAACAAGTACCCGAAGAAGGTGATTCGCAAGGATTCCGCAAAGAAGCAGGCGAAGAAATCGAGGGTGAAATGCTTCGTCAAAGTTGTGAATTACAATCACATAATGCCTACTCGTTACACTCTTGATGTTGATCTTAAGGATGTTGTTTCTACTGATGTTCTTCAGTCTAAGGATAAGAAGGTTACTGCTGCTAAAGAGACTAAGTCTAGGTTTGAGGAGAGGTTTAAGACTGGGAAGAATCGTTGGTTTTTCTCCAAACTCAGGTTCTAGAGAATTACAGATTTATCAACCAGAGTAATTTTTTATGCTTTTTTTTTTGTTTGTCTATTTCAATGTTGGGATTAAACTGTGGTTTTTAATTTTGTTTAGGAGTTGTTTTTGTTTGGGAATTTTGGCTGATTATGATATATGATGAACCCATTTTATCACTGCTATGTTTTTGTTTATTTCTGTTTATTGATTTGATATTACAATAGAAAAGCAGGAACATTTACAAATAATACCCGGTTAATTTCATGTTCATGCTAGAAAATTCCTGTAAGGTAGGATTCGAACGCTATGAATAGAGATTATCTGAAATTCGATTGCTATTTGGGAATTTCTGTAGTTCTTAGGAAGTATCAGCTTTCTTCTTGTGACCTTGTACATTATGCCTAATTCTGTAGTAAACTCATCTCTGTGTATATTAGTGGTTGATAAGCCTTCCCTTGAAGCCGGTCACGGTCCCTTGGACTGTCCACCAACTTTGATCTTAGGATTACTCCCAATTTGAACTTTTGAATCAGTGGAAATCATCTATCTCAGATGATGGTGTGAATCGGGTGGGATATCAGTCTAAGACCATTCAAGTTTGATTCATTGATTGTTTTAGAGAGAATTTTGGGTCTAGTGATGGTGGCTGTGGCGATGGAGAGAGAGGAGAGAGTAGGAAGTGAAATTGGAGGTGGGTGATCATAGTGAATGGAGTTTTGAATTGAATGATTTAGTGATGATTGATGAGATTTGAGTTTAATTGTCTAATTTTAGAATTTTATTTATATTGATCTCAAGAGTGTGATACTAATCACTAACGAAGTAACGAGTTTTGTTTATTGAGCAAATGTGCTTGGCAGGGTGTAATTATTAGAGAATCACTTTTATAATGAAGATTGTAATAAAACGCTGGTCTATCAACTCGATTAATAAAGCCATTCACAAACAAATATATACTTAGAGCTTGTTTGAAAGCTCAGGATTGTGCTCAAACTTAATACTCCCTCCGTTCCTAAATGTTTTTTTACGTTTTCATTTAGGGCGTTCTTTTTAATTCTTTACATTTAGTATCTTTTCTATTTTGGTCATAAATTTTGGACAAAATTACCCTTGTTTTTACATTACATTTTCACGTGCTATTGTACTTTTTGTACTATTTTAATAGTTTTTCAACACTTATTATTACTTTCTCTCTCCTCTAATTTTTTCACCCCACATGCTCAACATTGTATTTTTCAATAAAATTGTACTTTCGATCATTAAAATATTCCAACATACTTCAACTTTACACAATTTCTTAATAACCGCGCATAATTCCAAATGTAAAAAACATGGAACGGAGGGAGCAATACATACTAAGAGCTCGCTTGAACAAAGTAGTACTTGATTTTGCTCGGCTCATTTAAACATTTATGCTTGGCATATTGTTATTCAAATGAAATCTAAGATCTTGTAATGGGATTGGGGGAAAAATAAAAGAAATTTGAACAAAGTAGTACTCGATTTTGCTCGGCTCATTTAAACATCTATGCTTGGCTTATTGTTATTCAAATGAAATCTAAGATCTTGTAAGGGGATTGGGGAAAAAATAAAAGAAATTTGAACAAAGTAGTACTCGATTTTGCTCGGCTCATTTAAACAGTAGTTGCATTAGATATGTGATGAACAGTGTTAAGCTCGATCAAGGATTGTATATTATTAAGTAATGTGCTTGGTATCTTACTGGCTTGGTTGGTTACGCTCAAACCTTGATATTTGATGAATGGTGTAAAGCTCGATCAAGAGTGAGTGATAGGGTGGTTAAATAACCAATGAATCTTGTATATTGAGCAATAAGTTTGGCATATTGTTTTTCTAATGAAAAATCTAAGATCTTATAGTGGGTATTGGGGAAAAATTAAAAGAATTTTGAAGTATTGTCGAATTTGCAAATGTTTGCATAAACGGTGTTAAGCTTGATCAAGGCTTTACACTTTGTTTGGATTTGAAAGAAATAGAGGGAAGGGAAGGGAGGAGAAATTGAGGGATAGATAATCTCTTATTGGTCTATCTTCTCCAACACGTGGACGAAGGCCATTATACACTTGACAAGCACCAATTGTATGTTCTATAAATGCCATCATCACATTTTAAATCTACAATGCGATTTATTAGCACCTAAATAATAATTGTTGTATATCAGACATAGCTCACTTGAGCATTGGAATAAGTTTTCTATGGAAAACCCTAAGGGTAGTTGACGTAAATTGATTGTTTAAGTGTACCTTAGGATGCAAGACCTTTTCCCACACGGCCAAACTTATCACTTGTGCAATCCCAAAATTCACTTAAAATGCTCGTCTAATTATCGCCTTAGGCTAATTTAAAATTTAGTTGCAGGCCTCAATCTAAGTCGAAAGCTTTGCTAATAATCGTTAACATACATGCTTATTTGTTTTCATTTGCCCATAGTACATACAAAAAGGCACTGTATTCTGTACAAAACAATTCAGATAACACCTACTTAATGAATGCCTAGTAAATTCAAGTGCATGTAGGAATGGCAACGGATCGGATTCGGGTCGAATGTGGCTAAATCCGAATCCGATCCGTTTAGTAAACGGACCCTGGACTCGGATCCATAATTGTTTGTATTATCATACCAATTAAAGTATAAACATAACATATTTAAATTATAACCTAAGTTACATAACAAAATTTTGCTACAAAACAAGCAAATAATTGTCCCAAGTTATAGAGCATATGCTTGTACTCTTAGATTCGGACTCCGTCGGACTTTGCGTAGGGTCCAAGTCCGATCCACCTCCTATTCGAATTCGGATCTATTTTATCGGATTCGGATTAATTTTAAACGGATTCGAATCGGATTTTTTCCTTCGGATCGGATCGAATTCGAATCGAACTCGGATTAAATTGCCATCCCTAAGTGCATGCTATAAAATTCCTGTTGTACCTCTTACTTTCCTATACACTTAAGCCTGCTGCAAATGGTAATATTAGAACACTAAGAATTCTGCTAGAGACAGTAAAAAATTCAGCTACAAAATAGAAAAAGGCTACACAGTCAAAAGAGATTAAGGTTCTACGATGTGAATATGATCAGCCAAGAATGCCTCAAGATCATCATCACCTGAAATTCGATCACTTACTGGGAAATCCCCGAGTGTTGCCATCATTCTTCTTCTCACCTTGTATAAACTCATCTCTGTGTATATTAGTAGCAGATAACCCTTCCCTTGCAGCCATATTCACCGGTCCCTTGGACTGTTCACCAGCTTTGATCTTGACTCCTGAGCTTGAACAAAGATCACTACCACTTTGAACCAGCGGATTCCGTTCATCCTGCTTGTAAGAATCACTTATTTTTACACCATCTTGAAAAGCTCTTGCGAGGAAATTGTTAGAAGAAGCACTTCCGCCTCCCAGATGAAAATTAAGTTTACCAGTAGAAGGCAAAGTATCATCTGAAGGAATAGACTTTCCTGATGTATTCTTTTCTGATGCCTTCCCTGCAGAAATATGGCGTATGTCATTTGCCATTTGTTCCTGTGATTGCTTCAGATTAATTAATTCTTCCTTCAGCCTTGAAATGTGACTTGCGTAGTGATCCAAGTGTCCCTGTGATTGCTTCTTCAGCTTATCTAATTCTGCATCCAGCCTTCTAATGTGACTTTTGCAGCCATCAATTTGTCTCTGTGATTGCTTCAGATCATTTAACCCTGCCGCCAGCGAACTAATGCCAATTACGCAAGACATCAATAATTCAGATTGCAGGGGGTTATTAGATTGATTAAGACTCCCAGACTGGTCATGTATCTCTGCCTGCACATGCCAAATACAAGAATGTAAAACAGGAGACCTTTTATAATGGTGCATTGCATAAGCAAAATTGGACAGGATCAAATCTTAATATCTAACGAAAAACTTCTAACGACTATTAAGAATATAAGATAGTAAATCTAGGGTATGGACATGAATTTTGGGAGTGGTCTTACAATGGTGCATTGCATACAAGATACTACATAAGCTCTTTAAGAAATGCATCTTTACTAGCATATATAGATCAGTATTATATTTTTTTCATCGGCATTTCTCCTTGGTACCAACCTACTTAAACAAAATATGACTTGTCAATAACCGAAATCAGACCTGTTTTCTTATCAGATCATAATACAGTTGATTATTCCAAATGGATGGGTCTACATATCCTCCTTGAGATGACCAAAATGAAGTAGGTGGGAAATTTGTCACTGGTTGTGGTGCACTTTGCTGCAGTTCATAACTTGAAGCAAGGGGATTCCATTGTACGGCTGCACATATAACCAATACCAATTCATGATGCATATGCATAACATTTTCATAAGCATATAGGTATACATATGTCAAGTTCAACATATTTGAAGATAAAGTGCAATAGTACAGACCAATTGTAAAAAAGATCCCAAGTACAAAAACGTAAATACAACTCGTTTGAAAAAAAATATGAACTTTTTTTGCTACCAACATAGGATGTTAGTCCTACCTTTTCAAGAATGGACTTGCAACTTCAATTTGATTTTTTTTTTTTTTTTTTAAATTTGCGAAAAGCCTTACAGAAAGTTGTTAAAGCCTTTTGTTGTAACGTGAAAAGCCTTACAATTCGCTGTTACAGCCTTTGTTGTAACGCGAAACATTCAATGATATAAGTGTAATGTAATCAATTTAAAGAAAAATCCAATCTACTAGGCACTTGTAGTCTAATGAAGATATTAGACAATCAGCAGAACATGAGTAACAAAGTGCTCATCCAACACAAACAAGAGAGGTTCTCAAGCATACCAGAATGAAGATTTGCAGATCCCAGCTGACTGCCAATACCAGGAATCATATGATCAGATTGCTGAAGCCTCTGTTGTTTCTGTGTACTTGTTTCTGGTTGATTTGGTTGAATGTAACGAGGAAACAACTGAAATACAGATCTAAGATGTTCCTCAGATTGGTTATTAGGCAGCAGATTTGTTTGCGGTTGCATATTAGGCCCAAGACGTTCACCAGTTCGGCTATTAAACAGCAGATTACTTGGATGTTGCAGATGAGAGTCAAGATATTCATCAGTTTGGCTAATAGCCTGCAGATTTCTTCGGGGTTGCACATCAGGCCCAAGATGTTCACCAGATTGGCTATTTAACTGCAGATTACTTAGAGGTTGCAGATAAGACCCAGGATGCTCACCAGATTTGCTATTTAACTGCAGATTATTTAGAAGCTGCAGATATGACCCAGGACGTTCACCAGTTTGGCTATTAGGCTGTGGATTGGTTGGATGTTGCTGAGAAGGATAAAACTGAAATACCCAAACAATAAACAGCCTTTAAAAACTGCTAAACATGTCAAGGAAACCAAAACCACAAATCCAATAAAAAAAACCTGCATACTAACAACAACAGCAACACAAAATATAAGTCCCAAAATGATTTGAGGTCGACTAACATGAATTGTTGTAAGGTAACGTTGCCAAATAAAACAAGGAGACAAATATGCCACCTTAATTTGTTATGCAATATGCTAAAGTTGAATGAACCAATTCAACAAATTAATAAACACCCATTTACTTCGTTCTTATAATCCGCCATTGATAAATCATTCTAAAGGTTTATCAATTGAACAAGGAAGGAACAGCAATTTCATATTAAAAAGTGATATTTAAAGAACATCACCAAGATTCTGATATTATCATATTAAGCAAGAATCCATACATGCAAACAAGCAAAAATTCTAATTTACCAAAAAAAAAAAAAAAAAAAAAAAAAAAAAAAAAAAAAAAAAAAAAAACAAAACAAAAATTCTTCATTTCTACAATATGCCAAGTTAAATGATCAGGATAATTAAACACCCATTAAGCCATTGATAAATCATTCTAAAGGTTTTATCAATTGAACATCACCAAGATTCTGATACTAAGCAGAGAATCCAAACATGATTGAAAACAAGCAGTATTCTACACGACTACACATATGCCAAGCCAAATGAACCGGATAATTAAACACCCATTAATTTCTTTCTCTTAAATAGCCATTAATCAGTCATTTCGAAGGAATAATTAACACATATAATCAAAAATGCAGAATTTAATTGAAAGATATAATCAAAGAACAACACCAAAATTCTACTAATAAGATTTAAGGAAAAGAAAATAAGATCATAATAGAAAAAATTAAAAAAACCCAGTTAAAGAAAATCATACAGAAGGGACGGTTCCAGATTCTTGACTAAGTTGGCGGTCTTCCATTGCAATTCAGAAGCTTCAAAGAATTATGAAAGTTTTTGAGTTGTGTTTAATGTTATTTTTGAGAGCAATATAATGTGAAGATGTGAGTTGTGTTTTGTGTACGGGTTATACTTATACTATACACAATTGCATACTCGCTCGCGCTCTTTTTTCCTTACATGGGAATATTGGTTTATGCTACTCGATAGTCCCTATGTAAGAATATCGCCCTTTTACACGAAAGCATTAAGGGGGCGTTTGATTCGCAAACTGGTATGGGTTTGGAACTTGATTCTTAATACCATATGTTTGGTATGATTGTGGAATGCAATTTCTTTCTTTTATTTAAGGTTGGCCTAAGTGATTGGAGGCTCTACTTCGGTACTACTTCCATCCTTGTAAGAGGAGCTCGATTCTAACCCTAAGTAAGTGGGATCCTTAATTTTTTCCTACTTACAAGGGAATTCTCTGTTCAATCCCCATTAAATACACTTTAAAAGAGAGGATCCCAAAGTGTCTGACCCACAAATATCGAACCAAAACAACCGTGAGGGTTGAGGTACATTCAAGGTAGGTTACATGAATATGTCACTTGTGTGATATCTATGTAGTATGTTATGCATTGTTTGAAAAGCAGTCAACTTACTAAATTGAAATTATTTTTATTAAATTGAAATTATTTTAAAGAATATTATTTTTGTAATGATATTTGATAAATGTTTTTACTTTCATTTTGATCGCCTATCCCAAATTTTATTTTTTCTTTTTTTTTTTTTTTTTTTTTTTTCACTCACAAGTTACTTTTCTTTTTCAAAACAACCTAGTGAGTAATGCTGATATTCCATATACTAATAGAGGCACCAATTTCTCAACTTCAAACTACTTACCACTCCAAAATTCTACCCTTAAATTTTTACACTTTCTTATTAAATTTTTTTTGCAAAGATTTGTTTTCTTTCCAAAGTTGTATGTCAAATTTGCTTGTGAGCTGATTATTTATAATATGCGCTTGTCTCATTATCTGAAAACATGATTATAGTTTACATATTTAACACTAGACTAGAATTCCAATGTCCAACAATTAACATGCTACTATGCTAGTCATGCAAATAATGGATAAATTGTTTTACTGAACTACAATGTGAAGGGAGAATCAAGAATGGCAGTATTTATGCAAAGGCGCAAGTAATTGATAGCAACAAAAAAGCAGGAACAAATGAACAATCAAATAGACGTTTACATACATGCTTATTTGTTTCCAATTTGCCCGTATTACATACAAAAGGCACTGTATTTTGTACAAAAAAATTCAGATAACACCCACTTAATGACTTCATAGTAAATTCAAGTGCATGCTAAAATATTCCTGTACCTTTTATACTATCCTATACGCTTAACCCCTGCCTCAAATGGTAGCATTAGAACACTACGAATTCTGCTAGAGACAGTAACACATTCAGCTACAAAATAGAAAAAAAAGGCTGCATAGTCAAAAGAGATAAAGGTTCTAAGAAGTGAACATGATCAGCCGAGAATGCCTCAAGACTATCATCATCTGAAATTCGATAACTAACTGGGAAGTCCCCAAGTGTTGCCATCTTTGGAAGTATAAGCATTCTCCTTCTACTTTGGATTATTCTGCCTAATATGCTGTATGTCATCAGCCATTTGTCCCTGTGAATACTTCAGATTACTCAATTCTGCCTTCAGCATTGCTATGTCACTTTTGCATTCATATATTTGTCTCTGTGATTGCTCCAGATTATCCAACTCTGCCTTCAGCATTCTAATGTCACTTTTGCAGTCATATATTTGTCCCTGTGATTGCTCCTTTAGATTATTTAATTCTGCCTCCAGCCTTCTAATGTGAAGGTCGTAGTTATCCACTGGTCTCTGTAACTGTTTCAGATTACTTAATTCTACCTCCAGCAGTCTGATCCGAATTATGTGAGAATTCAATTGAGATTGCAAGCGGACATTCGATACATAAAGATTCGATACGTGGCAATCCATCTCTCCCTGCACATGCCAAACACAAGAATGTAACACAATAGGATTACTCAGGAAACCTTTTATAATGTGCATTGCTTATACAAAATAGGACAGGACCAAATCTTAAAGAAATGTAAAGCTCCTAAGACTAGTAAGAGTATATCTAGTAAATCAAGGGTATGGATATGAATTCACGATTGGTCCTACAATCGTGCATTGCATAAAAGAAACTATATAAGCCCTTTAATAAATGCATCCTTACTAGCATAAATCAGTATTTTATTATTTTCATCATTACTACTCCTTCCCTCCTTGGTGCCAAACTACTTAAACAAAATTTGTCTTGCAAATAATCAGAATCAGACCTCTCTTCTTATCAGATCATAACAAAGCTGTTGAATATTACTCCAGATATTTGGGTTTACTCCTTGAGATTGAAATGAAGTAGGTGAGAAGTTTGTCATTGGTTGTTGTACACTTTGCTGCAGCTCAGGATATCTTGAAGAAAGGGGAGTCCATTGTGCGACTGCACATATACCCAATAACAATTCATGACACATATGCATAATATTTTCATAAACAATTAGGTATACAAATGTCAAATTCAACATATTAATTGAAGTAACGCAAAAACTTCAATGATATAAGGGTAATGTAATTAATAAAAAGAAAAATCCAATCTACTAGGCACTTATAGTCTAGGGAAGATATTAGACAATCAACAGAATATGACTAGCAAAGTGATTATCTAACACGAGCAAGAGAGATTCTCAAGCATACCTGAATAAGGATGTGAAGATCCCAACTGATTGCTAGTACTGGGAATCGTATGACCATATTGCGGAAGCCTTTGCCATTGATGTGAACTTGTTCCTGGTTGATTTTGGGGAGTGAAATGGGACCCTTGATGTTGAACAGTTTGAATATTAGACTGCAGATTTCCTTGAGGTTGCTGATTATACCCATGATGTTGAACAGTTTGGTAAGACTGCGGACTTCTTTGAGGTTGTTGATTATACCCTTGATGTCGAACAGTTTGGCTAGACTGCAGATTTCTTAGAGGTTGCATATCATACCCTTGATGTTCAACACTATGGTTATTAGGCAGCAGATTTCTTTGAGGTTGCATATTATAGTAATTATATGCATGATGCTCACCAGTTTGGCTATTCAACTGCAGATTTGTTACAGGTTGCACATTAGAACCAAGATGTTCACCAGTTTGGCTATTCAACTGCAGATTTGTTACAGGTTGCACATTAGAACCAAGATGTTCACCAGTTTGGCTATTCAACTGCAGATTTCTTACAGATTGCACATTAGAACCAAGATGTTCACCAGTTTGGCTATTTAACAGCAGATTTCTTACAGATTGCACATTAGAATCGAGATGTTCACCAGTTTGGCTGCTATTCAACTGCAGATTTCTTAGAGATTGCACATTAGAACCAAGATGTTCACCAGTTTGGCTATTTAACAGCAGATTTCTTACAGATTGCACATTAGAATCGAGATGTTCACCAGTTTGGCTGCTATTCAACTGCAGATTTCTTAGAGATTGCACATTAGAACCAAGATGTTCACCAGTTTGGCTATTTAACAGCAGATTTCTTACAGATTGCACATTAGAATCAAGATGTTCACCAGTTTGGCTATTCAACTGCAGATTTCTTACAGATTGCACATTAGAATCAAGATGTTCACCAGTTCGGCTATTCAACTGCAGATTTCTTACAGATTGCACAGTAGAATCAAGATGTTCACCAGTTTGGCTATTCAACTGCAGATTTCTTACAGATTGCACATAAGAATCAAGATGTTCACCAGTTTGGCTATTTAACTGCAGATTTCTAACAGATTGCACATTAGAATCAAGATGTTCACCAGTTTGACTAGTAAGCTGTTGATTATTTCTTGCACTTTCCAGAAGATCCAAAACTTGTTCACCAAGAGATGGTTGATCAAACTGAAACACCTAAAAATTAACCAGCCTTAAAAATCTGCTATACATTTCCAGATAACCAATAACTATAAATCCGATCAAAAAAGCCTGCATACTAACAACAACAATAACAAAATCTTGAGTCCCAAAAATGATTTGGGGTCGACTAACAAGAATTGTTGTAAGAAAAAATTGCAAATAAAAAAAAAAAAAGAGACAAACCAACAAATTAATGAACACCCATTAACTTCATTCTCATAATCCACCATTGATAAATCATTCAAAAGATTTGTCAATTGAACAGGGAGGGCACGACAATTTCATATTAACAAAAGATAATCAAAGAACACCACCAAGATTCTATCAAAACATACAACAAGCAAACATTCGACATTTTTTACAAAATGCCAAGTTGAATGAATCAAAAATTAAACACCCATTAACTTCTTTCTCTTAATTAGTCATTAATAACACATTTAGAAGCTATAATTAACACTGAAAATCGAAAATGCAGATTTTGATTGAGAGATATTATCAAAGAACAACACCAAAATTCTACTACTAAGTTTAAGCAAAACAAAATTAGATTATAAAATAAAAAAAAACCCAGTTAAAGAAATCATACAGAAGAGCTGGGTAGAGATTGTTGGCTATCTTGCTGGTTATCCATTGCAATTCAGAATCTTCAAAGAAATTGGAAAACAGAGGTTTGAATGTGTGTGTTTAGTAGGAACGAGAGAGAAGTGTACTCTTTCTATTTTTCTGGGAGTGGTGTAAATGTGTAATATGAAGTCGTGACTTATGTACGGGGTGTACTACAGTACTAGCTACTAGGCACACTCGCTCGCGCTCTTTTTAATTTTTCTTACATGGGATTATTATGCTAATGGAGTAATGGGTGTGTAAGAACTAAAAGATGGCCCTTCAATTAGGTTACACGGACACGTCACAAGTGTCATACGGGTATCGGGGTATGTGATATCAGAGTGGTATGTTATGAGTTGTTTGACTTCTATACGATGAGTAAAACGGTAAAAGTATTACTAGTAAAATTTTGATTCATTATTTAAAATATAAAGAATATATGTACTTATTTTACGATATTTTAACTGATATTGGTAGGATATACTTATAATTCAATTTTAGACCGTCAATGGCATTATCCATCGATTTACTAGGTTGGTATTGGTTGAGCAATGAGCATACTAAAAAATTTGTAAACTTAGAGCCTATTCACATTTACTGGATTGATCCGTACAGAACTGAATGGAGTTGAACTGAACTGAACTAAATTAAGCTTAAATGAATATAATATTTTATGAGAGGAGAAAATTAAGAGCTAAACTGAACTGAACTGATTAGAGCTGAACTGAACTAAACTGAATCGAACTGAAATTAAGCTGAAGTGAACAGACCCTTAGTTCATTATAATCATAGTTGCCTACCATTTGGATTATGATTTTAAATTCTTACTCGCTCCATCATCTTTAGATAGCCAATCATATCTACTTAGTAATTATATCACCCTACCATAACGTATCTAATTAGTAATCTATTTTACATCTCACACCAAATTTTTTTAAAAAAATTATTCAACATAAATGAATATGTATCAACCCGCATTTGGTCATCATAATAAAAATTTGTTATTAATATTAAAAATTGACTACTTTTTTTTTATAACACTCTATGCTTAAATGAAAAATGTATTATAATCGCTATTTTTTTATTTTTATTTTTAACGAGATGTTAATTTAATTTAGATTTTGCTAACGAGCCTCAAGCATTAGACAACTAATTAGCACCATAACTTAAGATAGTACGAGTATTAATTTTGAAATGTATGCCATATCAGACTTAGCGATATCACGGGTTTTAAAATTATTTTACCGTAATATTTCCATTTCTTGAGTGCGCGTGTTAGCTTTTATCATTTGATTTACACGGAGTATTATGTGAGGGTTGACACTTGACACACTATGAGTTATTTCGGACAAAATTAGTGGACAAAACCCTTTGATAAACCCCAAACCTTTCTCCTTTGGAGCTCTTTTATTAGTTGCGCCCTCTCTCTTTTTTCCATTGAAGCGCATACTCTGATATCTCCATTGTAGAAGCTTCTGAGCTTTCCCTCCTCCAATGAAGCAGCTTCTGAGGTAAGATACAATTGTTAATCTTTTTTAATCACCGAATATCAATTTTACAATTTATGGTTTGTATTTAATTTTATTGTCAATCTATTCAATTTAGGGTTCTTCTTAGGCGGATTATTGAAATGTTAGTATTACTTTCTGAAACGATTAAAATGATCGATTTTGTTTCTATAATGTTGCTAATGTGTTGCAAGCTGTTGTTTATAATTCTTTATTGTACGAAAAAACTATGAAAATGTTTATCAATTTCATAATCTAAGGTTTATCATGACCCCAACTCGGCTGCCCTGCCTGCCCTGCCTCAAGGATGGCTCTGCAATTTAGGGGCATTTGATGTTATGATGTCGAATGTCATGTTGTAACACTTAAATGGATGTAATAATAGGGTATCTCATCTGGGTTTTCGCCCATGTTATGAATTATGATGTCGAATGTCGAATTGATAACTTTGATGCGTTCTATCCTAGCTGATATGCGCAATTGTTCGGATTCTTCACCTAATTTGGCTCCTCCATCTTCGGTTCATGATGTCGAATCAACCCCTAACATGACCTTAGGTATGAAACCAGAACTCCAAATCCCTAAATTTGATGGTTCTAATCCTAGATTGTGGATTAAGAAATGTTGCAAATATTTTACTCTCTGTAAGATTCCAGATGATCAGAAGGTTATGTTGGCTTCCCTTAATATGATTGATAAAGCTGCAAATTGGGTTTCTAGTTATTTGTCTATTCGTGCTGTTGTGGATTGGAACGATTTTATTATTGATGTGAATGACAGGTTTCAGGATTTTAATGTGGTTGAGGATTTTAATAAACTTCAACAGACTAGTAATATTGAGTCCTACATTGATGAATGAGAATGTTGATAAATTCACACACCTTGATTCTGATTTTGATGATACTTCTAATCTGGTTGTAGTTGAGAAAATTGATAGAGTGAATCACCTTGATTCGGTTATGAGTGATTATGATGATAATTCTGGGAATTTGCAGACTGTTATGTTAGATAACAATGTTCATCTTTTGGGGAATTTTATGGGAGGAGTGAAATCAGTTGTGTCTCCATTTGTGAAGGATGTTATGCTACCTACTAGTGCTGCTTCAATTGAATTTGCAAAACCACACAAGCATTTTCTACACCCTTTGAATGAGGCCTTTGAACCTAATATAGCTCATTCTTCTTGGACTACACCTAAACCAATTACACAGCCCACACTCTTGATGTCTTACACCAAGGCACCCCTGCTCCCTACACCTACTATACACCCAACCAAATTTCCCTTGGCCAGAACACTGCTAGTAGGCTTCTCTAAGTCTGTAGGAAGGAGTCTTGTTGCATATTTCAATATAGGATGTTTGGAAAAGAGTTATTGGTTGCTACTCTCAAGTCTCGGTTGGTAATTGCTCAACCTCGAATTGAGGCTATTAGACACAGGTCTGAACGAGTTTTTCGAGTCGGTGAGGGAATATGGTTACAATTCTTACAGAAACTAGATGGCCTCTATGCTTCTCTTGCTGTCAACACTTTTGGGAACAATTACCTGCTTGTGTATTCTCTTATGATGGCTGGGAATTGGCCACAAAGTTCATATGTGTATTTTCTATACACTATCTATGGTCTTCGTCAGGGAGACAGTTGGCAGTGTTTCATTGCCATTTCCTTTCTGTTTCCGGCCTTCGAGTTGTGGCTTGTTGCTAAGCACACTAGGAAGGGATTTTGGTAGCAGTGTCTGGTTAATAATTTTGTGTTAAGTGTTGTTGATGCTTTTGTTTCTGCGGAGAAAATGGTGTTGATGGGTGGATTACAGTCTTTGTTTGAAGCGTTCTTGTTGGCCTCATTGTTGGGATGCTTCCCTACATCACATGTGCTGGCTTGTTCTGCCGCAGTTGCGAGCTATACACAAACTAACTTTACCTTATCTCCTGCCTCACCCATGCTCCCAATTGTGACTAGTTTCCTGGTAGCACTATCCTTGACACCTTCACTTCGGGTTGATGATGCATTGAATGTGGCTGTCACTGAGTTTCAGAAAAACTTAGTCCCTTACCCTCGTATTCATTTCATGCTTCCTTCTTATACTCCTGTTATGTCTGATGATAAAGCCTTCCATGAGCAACTGTTAGTTGCAGAGATCAATGGCAGTACATTTGAGCCTAGTGCTAAGATGGCCAAATGTGATTCCCACCACGAAAGGTACATGGCTTGCTGTGTGGTGCACCAAGGAGATGTGGTACCCAGAGATGTAAATGCCACTGTTTTCACATTCAAAACAACGAGAACCAGACAGTTTGTGAACTGGTGTCCTACCAGATTCAAGTGTGGTAGTACCTACCAGCCTTTAATGGTGGTGCCAGGAAGAGATTTGGCCAAAATTCAAAGGGCTGTGGGTATGATTTCTAACTCAGTCAGTGTTGCTGAAGTGTTCTTGAGAATCGACCACAAGTTCGACCATATATCTGCCAAGCAAGCTTTCGTGCTATTATTTTCTCTAGACTTGAGGACAAGTCTTTTTGAAGGGGAAGGGTATGATACAGGAGAAATAAGAAGAAAAGATATTTTAGTTGGTTTTAATGGGTAATTCTGCATTCTGCTTATTAGCAAAGTGGTTATTTTCATCATTTGTCCTTTTGTGCTTAGTTTTATGATAATTGGATTAGAGAGAATCTTTCTGTTAGGGTCATGCCTTATTAATGCACCTTAGGTTGTAATTGGAATTAAGAAATGAATTAACAAACTTCTCTCTCTAACTCTCTGCCCCTCTATTATCTCTCTAAGCTTCTTCTTCTTCCTCACGTTTCCCCTTTCCTTCTATTCTCCCCTGTTCTTCTGGTATTATCAGCAACCACCAAGAAAACCTCCCTTATTAGTTTTGCATATTATGTGTTTATTATTGGTGTTATAAGTTTGTTGATCTCATTGTCAGTATAATGTTTTAACAAATTTCTGTTCATTTCACATTCCAGCTTCAGAGGAAGGTTCAATAACTGGGACAGCCTTATTAGGAATAGTCGTAAGTGTATATATTGCAACATACACAATACCAGTCACCCTCCTTATATTAGTGGTACATACGATGTACTTCAAGCAAGTTGTTTTCAGCATTGGTTCAAAAACTGGCAGAATTTAAGAAAGAACAAGCTTACTGCAAGCACTTTTAGCTCTGCAATTAGGTTTTGGCCTCGTAGGAGAGTTCAATTGTGGTTAGAGAAGATAGGGCGATCGAACCCTTTTCTGGTAATCTCGCGACCTGTTATAACAATATTAACGAGGAGGAAGCTCTGGAACGGTACAAGATATTAACCGACAAGTCTGTTGTGTTTCCTAAATTTCAGATTCTTAATAAGAATAACTTGAATGGTGATGGTTGGCTTGGTGCCTCTCCTGATGGGGTTGTTGAAGAAAATGTTTATGGTTTGCCATCGGAGGGAGTGTTGGAAATTAAGTGCCCTTTTTTTGATGGTGATATTAACAAAGCTTTCCCTTGGAAGTAGATCCCACTTTATTGTATGCCACAGGCACAAGGTCTAATGGAGATACTGGATAGGGATTAGATGGATCTCTATGTTTGGACCCCAAATGGAAGCAGTTTGTTTAGGCTGTATCGAGATGTTGAATATTGGGATGCTATAAAGAGAGCTTTAGATGATTTCTGGTGGAATCATGTCCAGCCAGCAAAGGAGCTGTACAATAAGTCTAAGTTCACTGATCCCTTGACTCAATTAAGGTCTCTAAAACCAGATCCCCGGCATGAATTATGTAGTTATATTGTTTATGAAAGCAAGCATCTTGTGGACAATAAATCTATGTTATTGTGGCGTGAAATTCATGGCAAAATACAAGATTGTTGAAGTCAGATATTGCGTTTTCACTTATTGATCATTGCTATTGCTTAGAGCCCAATGATGGAAAGGGAGGTAAGGTGAGCTACTGAGCTGTTAATATACTTTGATGGAAAGTTTATTTATTTATATTTTCAATCTATCTTTGCCTTTAAATCTATCTGCATTAAATTTCCAACCTGCCTATCTATTATGCTTTATGTGTAACATAGGTGCCTTTTGCTGAACTGGTTAATGCTTATTTACAAGGGCTAATCATGTTATCCAAAGTCCAAACAAGCAGCTCCCAGATTCTTTTTCCCATCTCTTTAGCTGGTAGCTGTTCACGACATAGTCTTAAGTCTCCTCTTTGCTTCATGACTTTCCCTGTTCTTGAGGGCATTGGGGCTATCAGTACTGAAACTTAAAATCTGTTAATAGCTGTATGTAATCACGTGCTGACCAAAGTTATCTATTTGATGGTCTTGTGCATGACTTTTCTCAATGTTGGTTTTCCTTAGCCTAATCTAAAGTCCCTAGTTGTTTTTAATATTGGTGATTTCTTCTTATTGTTGCTTAATTACTTTATACTTTGTTAAATTTAGAAGTTTATATGAATAATCTTCAATCTGACCTGGTGGTACCTTCAAAATGTCTACTGTACACCCCCGTTCCCAAATAAGCTACTCAATTGCTTTTGGCATGGATATTAATAATAGAGTGTAGAGGAAAACAACGGTAAGCTATGTTACTCGAACTCTTTCATTTACCTCACGTGTCCGTGTCGACACGCCTCGTGTCGGACACCGACACCGACACTTGGACACTTCATTTTTAACTAAAAACACAATTTTTTTTCAAGAAAATGGGCGAGTCCGATACTTGGACACCCGTGTCTAATAGGACACTTCATCCGAGTCCAAGTAACATAGACGGTAAGAGAGTGTCGGAATAAAGCAAAAGAAATTGGTTGAGAGAAAAAGTGTACAATTTATTTGGGGTATCCAAGAAAGGAAATTGTGCATCTTATTTCAGGATAGGCAGAGGGCCAATGTAACTTTGCCATGGATAAAATATGTATATAAAGTTGCTTAATTTAATTTCCTTTAGTCTTCAAAAAAAAAAAAAAATCCTTTAAGCCTATTTTGCAGTATATATCTGTATGGATATAAAGGAACTGATGAGTTTTCCATTGTATACCTAGTTTTGTTGTGAGCTTGTGACTATTATTTGCCCTCTCACTTTTAGGTTTTTATCTTGATGTTTGAAGTGCTCCAGTACCTGCTTACTCATGGAACCCTGTACAATTCGTATGATTCTATTGTTAGGTTTGCAAAGCATTCAGGCTTTTATGTCTTATAATATTGTGAGCAGAGTAGACAAATGCTACGTTTGGGATCTTAATATTGCGAATGTGATCTTAACTTCTGCAGCAGGAAGAAAACAAAATGACCTTTAGGATGATAATTGACGTGTTGCTTTTTATCCATTTAGATTGATATATACCAAGCATTTCTACTGCAAGTTACTTGTGGATCTTATCAGAAAGAGCTCATGCTATTGTTGTTTACTCTTATGAGGAATCTGAAATAAAAGTTTAGAAAGAAAGTAGGGTATAATGTGCAGTCTCTGAGCTCCAAAAGGCCTTTTCCTAGATGAGAGTTGATTGATGTCATGCTGTCTATGCTCTTTTTTTCAGACCCCTTTTGGTCCTGTCTAAATCATCCACTGTGTTCATGATGGGTTTTTTGTTGTCATTTATATACCAAGCACATTGTAAATACATATAGAGCTGTTGATCTTGTTAATCTATTAAATATTCTGACTTTTCTGAGAACTGGTATTTCAAGAACAGTTTGGAATACATCTTGCATAGTTACTTTCACATCTCTCTATGTTAAAGGAAAATGGTCATTTGTGTTTACCATTGTCCCTTATACCCTTCGGAAGTCCAATTGGGTGGGTGGAACCATCCAATTTGCCTTTAAACGGCCAATTTACCGATTTACAACGTGCACCAATTTCATTAACTCAAGCCTACCACAAACATTTATGACAACATATTATGATCATATATGGTTCTAAACAAGATTATATGACCCCGAAATGTATCTCCTAAAATCTCAAGGCTATTCGACACCGGGCCCTGAAATCTCCAAACTTTCTCAAAAAAGCGTGGATATTAGCCTTCTATTTTGGAATTTATAGACTTATTTTCACCCGTAATTAAAAATTTTCGAATTACCATGTTCCCTAATATCCTTCGGGATTCCGATTGGGTGGGTTGAACTATCCAATTTGCCTTTAAACGGCCAATTTACCAATTTACAACATGCACTAATTTCATTAACTCAAACCTACCACGAACATTTTTGACAACATATAATGATTATAACTAGTTCCAAACGGCATTATATGACTGGGAAATGTATCCCATAAAATTTTAAGACTTTTCGACACCAGGTCCCAAAACCTCCAAATTTCGCAAATTAAAATGCGTGGATTTAATTTCGGAAATTTTTGAGTTTTTTTCGCCTGGAAATAAAAATTGCTGAAATGTTTACAATGGTACCTAATACCATCCGGGAGTCCAATTGGATTGGTGGAACCATCCAATTTGCCTTTAAACGGTCAATTTACTGGTTTACAACTTGCGCTGATTTCATTAACTGAAGCCTACCACGAACACTTGTGACAACAAATAACGATCATATATGGTTCTAAGTGACATTATCTTACCCCGAGATGTATTCCCTAAAATTTCAAGAGTTTTCAACACCGAGCTTTGAAACCTCCAAAATATCTTAAAAAGCGTGGATATTAGACTTCAAATTTGGAATTTTTTTTACTTTTTTTCGACCAAAAATAAAAATTGCCGAAATGTTTACTATCGTCCCTAATACCCCCGGAGAGTCCAATTAGGTGGGTCTAACCATCCAATTTGCCTTTAAACGACCAATTTTCCGATTTACAACTTGTAATTAAAGCCTAGCACGCACAAACTAACATTTACGACAACATATAATGATCATATATGGTTCCAAATTGAACTACATGACCCCGAGATTTATACCCTAGAATTTTAAGACTTTTCGAAACCTTCAAAATTTCTCAAAAAGCATGGATATTAGCCTTTAATTTTGGAATTTTTTTAAATTTTTTTAACCCGGAAATAAAAATTGCCTAAATTTTACCATGGTCCCCAATACCCTCCGGGAGTCCAATTGGTTGAGTGGAACCATCCAATTTGCCTTTAAATGACTAATTTACCAGTTTACAACTTGCACCGATTTCATTAACTCAAGCCTACCACGAATATTTATGACAACGTATAATGATCATATATGGTTCCAAACGGCATTATATGACCCTAGATGTATACCCTAAAATCTCAATGCTTTTCGACATTAGAAATTTCTCAAAAAGCGTGGATATTATATAATTAGCCTTAAATATTGGAATTTTTTAACTTTTTTCGTAAATAAAATTTACCGAAATGTTTACCATGGTCACTAATACTCTCTGAGAGTCCGATTAGGTGGATGTAACCATCTAATTTATCTTTAAATGACGAATTTACCGGTTTACAACTTGCACCGATTTCATTAACTCAAGCCTACCACGAAAATTTATGACAACATATGTATAATGATCATTTATGGTTTAAAACTGTATTATATAAACCCGATATGTATCCCCTAAAATTCCAAAACTTTTCAACACCGGGGCCACAAACCTCAAAATTTTCTAAAAAAGCGTGGATATTAGTTTTCAATTTTTGAATTTTTGACTTTTTTTCACCCGAAAATAAAAATTGCCGAAATGTTTACCATGGTACCTAATACCCTCCGGGAGTCCAATTGGGTGGGTGAAACCATCCAATTTTCCTTTAAACGACCAATAAACTGATTTACAACATGCACCGATTTCATTAATTTAAGCCTACCACGAACATTTATGACAACATATTATGATCATATATGATTTTAAACGACACTATCTAACCCCGAGATGTATCTCCTAAAATTTCAAGTCTTTTCGAAACCGCGCCCAAAAATCTCCAAAAATTTTCAAAAATGCGTGGATATTAGCCTTCAATTTGGAATTTTTAGACTTATTTTTCCTGGAAATAAAAATGTTCAAATTTTTTACTATGGTCCCTAATACCCTCCGGGAGTCCAATTGGTGGGTTGAACTATCCAATTTGCCTTTAAACGACCAATTTACCGGTTTATAACTTGCACTGATTTCATTAACTTAAACCTACCACGAACATTTATGAGAACATATAATGATTATAAATGGTTCCAAACGGCATTATATGACCGCAAAATGTATCCCATAAAATTTAAAGACTTTTCAACACCGGATTCCGAAACCTCCAAAATTTCGCAAAATGCGTGGATTTAGTTTTTGAATTTTTTGAGTTTGTTTCTCTAGGAAATAAAAATTGCTGAAATGTTTAAAATGATACCTAGCTAATACCCTCCGGGTGTCCATTTTGATGGGTGGAACCATCCAATTATCCTTTAAACGACCAATTTACCGTTTTACAACTTGCACTGATTTCATTAACTGAAGCCTTCCACGAACACTTATGACAACAAATAATGATCATATATGGTTCCAAATGACATTATATTCCCCGAGATGTATTCCCTAAAATTTTAAAAGTTTTCAACATCGGGCCACGAAACCTTCAAAATTTCTTAAAAAGCGTGGATATTAGACTTCAAATTTGGAATTTTTTGACTTTTTTTCGACCGAAAATAAAATTTGCTAAATGTTTACTATGGTCTCTAATACTCTCAGGGAGTCCAATTAGGTGGGTGTAACCATCCAATTTGCCTTTAAACGGCCAATTTGCCAATTTACAACTTGTACTTATTTCATCAACTTAAGCCTAGCACGAACATTTATGACAACATATAATCATATATGGTTCCAAACGGAACTATATGACCCCGAGATTTATCCCCTATAATTTCAAGACTTTTTGAAAACTCCAAAATTTCTCAAAAAACGTGGATATTAGCCTTTAATTTGGAATTTTTTTACTTTTTTTAACCCGGAAATAAAATTTTCCAAAATGTTTACCATGGTCCCTAATACCCTTCGGAAGTCCAATTGGCTGGGTGGAACCATCTAATTTGCCTTTAAACGACCAATTTACCAGTTTACAACTTGCACTGATTTCATTAACTCAAGTCTATCATGAACATTTATGACAACAGATAATGATCATATATACTTCTAAACTGCATTATATGAGATTTATCCCATAAAATTTTAAGGATTTCGACACCGGGCCTCGAAACCTCTAAAATTTCTTAAAAGCGTGGATCTTGTCTTTAATTTTGGATTTTTTTGAATTTATATTGCCCGAAAATAAAAATAGCCGAAATGTTGACCATGGTCCCTAGTACCCTCCGAGAGTCCAATTGGGAGGGTGCAGTGGAACCCTACAATTTGTTTTTAAATGACCAATTTACCGATTTACAATTTGCACCGATTTCTTTAAATCAAGCCTTTTCGACATTATATGACTCCGAGATGTATCCCAAAAATATCAATACTTTTCGACACTAGGCCTGCGAAACCTTCGAAATGTCTAAGAAACGGCATTTTTGACTTTTCGACATCAGGTCCCGAACCTTTGAAAAGTCTAAAAAAAAGTGGATATTAGCCTTTAATTTTAAAATTTTTTGACTTTTTTTTGCCCAGAAATAAAAATTTCCGAAATGTTTACCATAGTCTCTAATACCCGCTAGGAGTCCAATTGGGTGGGTGAAACCATTCAATTTGCCTTTGAACGGCTAATTTACCGATTTACAACTTGCACCGTTTTCATTAACTAAAGCCTACCACGAACATTTATGATAACATATAATGATCATAAATGATTCCAAACGGCATTATATGACCCCGAGATGTATTCTATAAAATTTCAAGGCTTTTCGGCACAGGGCCTCGAAACCTCCAAAATTCTCAAAAAGCATGGATCTTAGCCTTTAATTTTGGAATTTTTTGACTTTTTATTGCCCGAAAATAAAAATTTCCGAAACGTTGACCATGGTCCCTAATATCCTCCGGGAGTCCAATTGGGTGGGTGGAACCCTCAAATTTGCCTTTAAACGGCCAATTTACCAGTTTACAACTTGCACCGATTTCATTAACTCAAGCCTACCACGAACATCTATGACAAGGTGACAACATATAATGATCATATATGGTTCCAAACGGCATTTATGACCCCCAATTGTATTCCCTAAAATCTCAAGACTTTGCGACACCAGGCCCAGAAACCTAAAAAATTTCTTAAAAAGCGTGGACATTAGCCTTCAATTTTGGAAATTTTGACTTTTTTTTCGCCCGGAATATAAATTGTCGAAATGTTTATCATGGTCCCTATTATCTTCCGGGAGTCCAATTGGGTGGGTGAAACAATCTAATTTGCCTTTAAACGACCAATTTACCTGTTTACAACTTGCATCGATTTTTCGGTTTACAGCGGCGAATTTAATTTACTTGCACCGAACCCCACTTGAACCGAAAATGACCCAAACCCGTTTTAACCCGTAAAAATCCGAATTTGACCCGACTTGTTACTAACCTGACCTGAATTTAATCCGACCCAAATTTAACCCAACCTATTACAAACCCGACCCGAAATCAACCCGACTTGTTGTTGACCTGACCCAAATTAAACCTGACTTGTTATTGAACCGGCCCGAATTTTACCAGACCTATTACTTACTCGACCCAAAAGTTCAACCTGATGTGTTACTAACTCGACTCGAAATTAACACGACTTGTTATTGACCCGACCTAAAT